TGGAAAAAGTTTGATGCAAACTATCTAGATATTTTAAAATGCAAACAATTTCAAACTTCTCATTAGGTAACCTTACTCGTATCACAACAAAATAAATTTTGAATTATATAAAAAAAAAGAAAATATATATATATATATATACATTTTTTTAAGATATAAATAAATCTTATATATTTTTAAACTTATTTACCCTCCTATTTCTCTAAAAAACTTTAGCCCGCGATGCCAAAGCGTAGCTTAGATTGGGCCCGCCGTAACATGGTTGGAGACCCTCTGATAACTAACTTTAACACAACAGCTTGTTTATCACACATACATTTTTATTTTTCATTCATTAATCATAGTTTTTACCAAAACAATTTTCCATATTCTAAGATGTATACGTCGATTTAAGTAAAAATTATAGTTTTCAGCTTTTATCGAGGTATAAATAGTAAATTTCAGCATTGACTAATAGAACCTAGTTTTATCTAGTGATTGGAACTTTTATGGTTACAAATATAGACATAAAGCAAAGCTTCCCGTCAACTTTGAATCATAGTGATATAGTTAGGGCTTAAACCTCTACCTCCAGACGACTATTCAACCCCTCTTGAAATACTCCTTTTTGATTTTAGATATTACTTGTTAAACAATATTATTTTTTCGAAAAAAAATGAAAAAAATAATATATTAATAATTGATGTTAAAAAACTAGTCCATTCAACAGTGGTGGACGTATATAATTTTAAACTGAGAAGAATTTTGGCTTACTCGGTTCATATAGACATTTTATGCAAAAAAAAAAAAAAATAATAATAATAATAATAAAGATAATCGCTATAAATCCAATACGTTTTTAATTTCTTTCTAGATCTAAAACGTGTCGTGAGCCGGTGACGGTATGCAAAGGTGTGGGTGAGCAACTAATGGTTAGGTTAAGTTCACCGTTTTGGTAACATGACTGTAGTTTGCCCCGCAGTACTCCAATCCTAGTTGTGTGTGTGTGTGTGTGTGACAGGTATATCGTGTGCGCGTGCGTGCGTGATTTACCACCGTCCTACGATCATTTCTGCGCGCGCGCACACGGGTTACATATTATTATATTATGTTCGCATGGTTAGTGATCATAGCGTCTGGTGCTACGCGGATTGGTCACGCGATCCAAGTAAACGACGGCTAAGACGATTATTTGGGGAAAACGATGACGACGTGTGCTTGGCATGTACCGCGGTTTCCCCGTACGGCGGCCGACGGTCTGCAGCGAAAAGACCGTGTGAGAATCGGATCAGGTGACGTGTGGATGACGGCCGTTCGTGTTTGACACACATATCCGGCGTGTGCGTTTGGCCTTGTCGGACGATCTGTTGTTGTCATTACAGTTTTTCTTATTCTATTTTTTCATTATTATTATTATTATTATTATTAATATTATTATTATTATTATTATTATTATTATATTTCGGTCGGACGTGCAGTCGTCATGTGATACATTCGCTAATGGAACGTAATGACACTCATTACGCCGCGTGCCGATCTCGTTCAATTGTCTTCGTCGTCCCTCGACCATCGTTATTATACTATTCTTATTTTCGCCTCGTTCGGTGTTCAATCGTCAAAACAGTTGCTCCCCCTTATGTCCCTTCGACCGGTGTAGTCGAACTGGTGTAAACATTTACTATTTTACATTCTACGAGTCGTGTCGCGGTACCAGGAGTGGATCTCTGGTTTATTTAATGGAAGATCGAACAGGAATAATTGTGAGCGATACATAGAGTACAAAAAAGATTTTACCGTAATTTGAGCAATTTAAAAGCTAAGGGGAGGGGCAATCTTTATGACATCTACACCCATTAATCCGTCACCGGTTGGTTCTGAATTTCTGATGATATTTTCCCGGGAATACCATTCGAACAGTACAAATCATCGCAAATTCATATGTGGATTTTGATCTTTTAATCGACTGTAGGCACGTTATAGGAAATATTAAATGCAAGATAAGTACACTAGATGAGTCTTTTTCTGTTTTAAATCTGTCAAGGAAACCGAAGAAATCAAATGTGTGTTTTATTTGTATTTTATGATTTGAAATTTGATTGCAATAACATTTTTCTAATAATGTTACTCTCATAATCTAAAATATATTAAAAATGATATCTTAAAATCTGATATCTCATAATGTTTCTAAGATTTGTGTATATATTGTTTAAGTATATTTTGTTATATTTAATCGAGTTTTGATCAGAATCATTTTTTGTTGTAATCGTATTTATACGACGCGGGATATTGTTAGCTTATACGACAAAAGACTACTACTGGCCAGTGAATGAGCCACCTAATTCCTGTATCCCACCGGGGACAGCCGTTTCCGATTTCGTGGCCTCGTATGTTCCGAAATATTACTCGTTCTATGTGTGTATACGTAATTCATTGGCAGATGTGCTATGTACACTGCGAGAAGGGCAATATTATAATGGGAGACCGTCTTGTATTTGATTCAATATCAATTATTGATGTATGTACATACCAAATTATAATTCGCGATGTTCGCGCATGTCGACCGAATTTATCGATGTATTATGGTAAAAACATAATATAAAACAACAGCCTTAATTTTCGTTTTATATTTTCAAAATGACGATAACAGGTTTTTCGAAGTACTAGAAAAATTCAAAACGAAAACAAACATAAAATGTACTTCTTCCTATTTATTAATATTATTATTATTGCCGGTAACGCGTTTGGGGTCGAAACCCACTGCAATGTCCCGGAGTTGTAAATTAGTTTACGAAGTAGTTCTATTACCGTTGTACCGTTTACAAGACGTGACTCTTATTATATGTACCACCTATATAGTACATATCATAGTATATTATATTATATTTATCCGTTGTGACTGATCATGTGTATTCGTGTATTCGTGAAGAATAACTATTATTTACGATTTAAATTTTTACGAGTCTACTACCCCACGTCGAAAACACGAACTCGGCGGTGATGAAACAATTCCCGTTAGAACTAAACGGGTAATAGTTATTAATGAATATTTATGTCGTTAAAAATTTGCATATCATGCGAATTTATAATAAAATAATTGTTCTTGTGAGTACCTTGCTATATATATATATATATATATACATATTCTTACGGGCAATTAAACATTACGCGTGAAGGTTTAGACCAAGGGTTCTCAACCTTTTAAGACATATGCCCCCTTTCATACTATTTTATGATGTCACTTTCCCCCCAAATAATAAGATTGAATTATGTTTAATATATATAAATTTATATATTTTATTATATACATCAAGTCTTTAAGATTATTAGTCTTATTAGATTAATATGATAATATGAAAATCAATGAAATTTTCATAAATATTATATGAGTTTATTTGTTAGGAAAAAAATATTTTTATAATTTAAAATTATTAAAACAAATTATATTATAATCTCTTTCTTAAATCTTAAATTTAAAATATATTATTAATAAGTAAAAATAGGTAAAAATTGAAAGGGTTGACACTACATTGTTTCAATTAATTGTGACTTAATATCGTTTTGATTAAATACATTAAAAATTATAAATAACGTTTTCATATTTCGTTGCTTTTTAAAATTGTTTTACGACTCCCTAAGTAGGCACGTCTTCAGGTTGAGAACCGCTGTTTTAGATGTTACATCAGTTTGTTGTTTCCGATGGATTATACGTTTTGTACAAATCTCTAAGTGCATCGAATCGATACAAAATTATTTAATCAGTTCGTTAAAAAAAAACTGCAGTTTTAATTCATATGCACAGTATCACGGCGTGGTGTAGTACGTTGGGTAAAAAACCAGTCCCGCGTGTCGGATATAACTAAAATAGATTTCCTGTAATACTTGCCACTTTTTTTTTATTTTTAATTAATGCCTCGCAAAGCCGCGTCTAAATAAAACAAAACGGTATTAGCTCGAAGAACGAAGACAAAAAAAAAAATAAATATAACGGCGACTTGCTCATCGCACATTATAAATACTATGATGAATTGATTAATCGTAAGAATAAAAAAATCTTTGCGTTAACTGCTATACGATTATACATTGTTGTTATTATTATTATTATTATTATTGTACTGTTTTTTTCGTACACCATTTGTTACTGCACAACTGAGTTTTATCGTTTTTCAATAAAAAACGATTATTGACGAAACAAACACGCTAAAAAACTGTATTTTATACGTTATAGAAATTGTGCGTTTTATTTTTAATCGTGATCTGCCCCCAAGTGCTCGCGTGCAGTGGTATAACATAAACGTCGGCGGACCGTTTACTCTGCTTATTAATTTTCGGTTATTTTGATTCTCCTGTTAAACTTATATTGTTCGAATTCCTATATTATCAACATTTGTCCGCCGCCTAATCTACTCGTCGTGCGCGTGCAATATGACGTGCATAAATGCTGGAAGCGCAAACGTACATGCACCGATAACGGCTACACGTTTTTGAACCCGAGATTTTACTGTAGGCATCATATTATGGAGACAACGGGTCACGTATTCGATTGTTATCCGCGAGCGCAGGCAACGCCTACAAAATTAAAAAACAGTCAATACGACTACTACCTATGAGCCGTATGCATTTATTTCACGTGTGTTTATGGGTATCCATTAACGTCTCTGCCGACACTGATCGTTTAAATTACTATTTATATATTTATACATATACATATGTAGTAGATTATGAAATTGTTTAAACAAATAAATAAATAACTGGTAAAAAAGAAGAAAATACTTGTTTTTATAGAAAAAAAAAAATGTTTTTCAGAAAAATTACTGCGCTGCATGTAATATAATTAAGTATACCGACTTTACTTAATAATTCTTTTCTGATTGGAAAACCGCAAAATACGACGATTATTAGCAATAATAACTGTAATAACAGTTGTAATCATCGCTCTGGGGTTTCGCAAATCGATTGATGAATTTTGTTTTACTGTTGCGCAACAGTCGAAAATAAAACCAAAACCTCTAAAAATGTCTTACCCATTTGAAACGGGGCGTTGACTGCGTCGGCTGAAGCACCGGAGTTGGCGCGACGGACGGGACCGCTGCTGGCTGTAGTCGGTGTTGTTGAGCGAAAACGGCGCACAAAATGAACTCGGTCGATAATTTTTAAGAATCGATATTATTTTAATTATTTTATTTTTATAAAAAAATATACGCGAAAAACGGGCACTCGCGTACCGATGGTGTAAATATGTGATGTATTACGGCGATGCCGGAGAACCAAAAACTTGTGTGTATACCGCTGAGTAGTAAATATTACACGGTAATACGTGTAAAACGATGTGTGTATCGGAAATAGTAACGCGAGCGAGTGTGCAGAAAACAAGAAGATATCAGACCTTGGCCTTCGCCAGTCCACTGGCAACGGACTATTGAAGAACCGATCGGCGGAGACACCGTTGGTCGGCGGTCCATCCGGGCCTCGGTGCCCCTTCCACGCGACCGCGACCGCAGTGGTGGCCACTTCCGACGACGGAGGCGGCAGCGGCGCTGTGACGTCACGTTGCTGCCGCGAGAAACGCTTCCGCGTGGAACGATGCAGCGGTGCGCTGTGTAGAAGCCGCGTATGTTCTCGTCTCGCGCATTTTGACGGAGGCGCACGCACCGCGGACGGCCGACGCGGGTATTTTTCCGCATGCCTATACGCGCGTATATTTAATAATCACAATATCAGTAACACTGCGGCGGAGGACTATTGTTATTTTATTACATTATACCTGTATAATTTTATAACGTGCGGTGAACGTGCTGGCGTGCGCCATCGGTACGCGGAACACGCGACGGAGGCAACGCTCCAAGTATTATAATGTCGTTGTACGCGCGTTATATTATGCCAAACCTTAAAGGAACTCGAAGAGAAGACAAAAACAAAAAAAAACCGACTGGATCGGAGAGTTGAAGTTGTACACCAACAGCCACCAGTTGGAACGAAAAGCAATATGTTATTAGGTGTCGGACTGGATGGAGTACACACGCGTACGTCGTTTTTTTTGCGTATACCGCTCGACGACGTTTCGTTTCCACCGTTCACGTAGCTGATCGATAGCGCGGCGTGGTTCAGCTAGATGACTGATGCGCGGTGATGCGATTTACGAGATAGTCCATTATGCCAGGACTCGCAAATTGTAACCGATAGGCGATACGGTGACCTGCAGAAGAGTGGCTGCGAAACATCCGTCGACGCACCAGTACCAGTGAGTTACGGGGTTGGTTCGCGTGTACGACGACCGTAATACCGGTATAAGCTATGCACAGACTTTGTGCACGCGTCGATGATCGATATGCATCGTTTTTTCGGGATCGATCAAATTTTCGCTGTCTTGCGTGAGGAGTAAAGGTCTCTGTCGCAAGGACGAGGTCGTTGTCGAGGTCATCGCCGCTGCCGCCTCCGTGTACTTATGACAATAACAATATTTGTCTACTGTGCGCCGCCTCCGCGATGCATTGTTATTTAATCGGCGTAGGGTGTGCGAGTGATAGAGTGCCAATGCGCGCGCGCGTGAGACCAGCTCGCAGCAGTCAAAATAAACGAAAACATGAATGAAAGCCGCCGTCGTTTGCAGAGGTCCTGAGGTCGTGACGATAGCGACTGAATATCATCAAGTCAGGCCCGCCCGTTTTGGTCCGGATCATTTTTACATATTACGCTGTGATAATATCACTATTGTGATTTACGACCGTATAATAAGTGATACATTTGTGATGGTGGTACACGACGTGCGCGGGTAAACGCCGATGAGTAATGTTTCTCTATCGACAGACTTTTTATTTTAACCGTATTTCTGTTCGAAGAGGGGGTTTTTTCAATCCACTAGACCCGCTCAAGTCGGATTGACATTGAGATTTCGACTTTGAATTGTTAGAAAATTGATTCCGCGTAGAATCGTATATTTATCGTGTGGGTAGTTATACTTAAACCTCACCCAGAGTCTTTCCGTAATGTCTGCGCGATGCCATGACGCGTTTTATTGTTCGACGACTATAGCGTGCGGGTGTTTTACTTTGTGTATCTACATTAAGTTTTCGGCATACCACGAGACTTGTTGAGCAAATGGCTGCATCAAGGATATAATATAGTAATGGTCATACATTGTCGGTCTTACTATATATATATATTAATATTTACTATATGAGCTATATGAATATTGATTAAATCATTTAAGAAAAATTTAGAATACTATACGACTGCATTGAAAGTTTCGTAAATACGAGTAAATATAGTTATTGGTTATTATAGCACTGCTTGTTTGTTTATCAAATAGTTTTTCATCAAAATCGTTCTGTTATTGGTTAGGTTATTATTATGTTGTGATAATTATCCACCCTATCTGTTCTGAACTATAGTTATTAAGAGAATAAAATACAATGGTGCTTTTTGAGAAAATATCGCCGGGCATATTACCTAACTATAAAATAGGTAATTAATGATGAGAATCTCCGATTTTTGTAGAATGTAACAAAAAATAAATAATATTAAAATTTTTTTGATTCGACATTTGGAAACATGAAACGGGGAGATGTATTTACTTGGGTAGTATTATAACACTGTATACAGATTTTATTCCAGACAATAACAAACTGAGTAATGCTATTAAAACTGTTTCCAAAAAGTACATCATGACAAAACATCTAGGAGAGAACAAATCATTTTAAACAGAGCTTAAACAGACTACTCCCATCTAATTCACTCCTATTTGATAAACAGGGAATTCCATCCGACATATGCAGAACTCTAATTACAATTGCATGCATAATTATTTATTGTCCCAAATATTTAACCTCGTATCTTTTCTTCAAAGTCCAAACTGAAGTTTATATTAAATTAAATAGTATCCACTTATGACGCATTCCTAAGGATAGGAAAGTAAAAGAACGTCAATTAAAAAACGAATATACAATCCAACAGTATAATAGAGGAGAGTTAAATCGGTATGAGTTCATTAAATCAATGGCATTCAACTAAACAAACATGTATATATAAATTAAATCCATGACATGACATAACATTTTTTCTTTGACGAAATCAATCTATCGAGACAATGCTTTCCAAAATGTTATACATGAAACCGTGGGCGAAAAGATTGCAATTAGTTTTGGGCGAAAAGAGAAGGGTCATTTTTGGGCAAAAAGAGTTGCGCCCAGACTGAGATAAAACCATTAATTATACCTATCAGTGGCGAATCTACGGGGGTGGATATGGGGGATAGACCCCCCCCCTCACGGGCCGAGAGTTAAAAACATTTTTTTTGCAACCAATTCAATTTTTGCATGCACCATTTAAATAAAAACTATTCTTTTATTATTTCGTTTTCATTATTTTGTAACCAAGAAGGATAAACTAGTATACATTAGTATCTAACTTCATATCAGATTACATATGTACACCTCGTATTTATATTATGATCCGGAATACAGCCATAGAGTAATGGCACAGTCATCAAGAAAATTAAATTTTGTTTTGTAAATTTAGTAGAATAAAGTTTATTATACCTATACATATTATGTACGAAAATATTTTATATCCCCCCCCCCCCCCCCCCTATGATAAAATCCTAGATCCGCCACTGATACCTATAATTAACTTATGCTATCTTTAGTATTGTAAAAATAAGTTATAGTTTGTAAACGGTACCTTAGGTTAATGATCAGTGTTATTTAAGTATTTAATATTATTAAAAAAATAAAAATAAAAATAACACTATTTATAGTTATTTAAGCATGAATATATCAAATTTATTATTAGAAGATTATACATTATATACTACTTATATAACGAAATAATGACTGAGCGATTTAAATTAAAAACTATTTGCTTCGTCATATTCTTAGAAGAGTTAACGCCTAAATCGGTGATTACACTAAAAACATCGAAAGTAAAGAAAACCAATAATATTACTGTAATATATATGTAGCGCTCCGCCATCGTGGTGGTAACGGGTTACCGTGAGTTTCCGCAAATTTTCTCCGTCTAACGAAACTTCCGTGAGGACGATAATTATATGCAGTCAAGTATTAGATTATTTCTTTTTTAAAAACTGCGAATGTCTATCGAATATTACGATATTGTATTATTATGAAATGTACGTTATATGTGGTTGGTATACCAGGAGTGACCAAATCATGGATGAATTTTAGTCGATTCGCAAATTTTTAAGAAAGAAAAAATCGTTAATTTTCCTTATTAAAAATTTTCCACTGTCCATTTTTATTTTTCATCGTATTAACGTATTTCACGTATTAATAAATCGAATGTTACCCACACGATAACATTCCTGTTATTCGTGATCTCGATTTAATTTTAGCTGATATTAAGAGTCGATGATAATTTTTTGTTTCAGTCCACAAATAAACATTTTAATTTGATCCTATATTATAGAGAAATATCAATTTTCTCATCCTTTTTTGATCTTTTACGTAATTTGTCAATTAACACCCATTATTCCTTTGATTTATTATCATAATCATAAATTTTATTGTTTTTTAATATATCCAACTTTTATTCAAAATATTCAATTTTAATTTTTGCTACATTTTTTTTATTAATAAGTTTTTCTGACTTTAGTTAACTTAACTTTGTTTAACATAAACATTTTATGATAATAATATATATATTTAAATTCATAATTTTGAACGAATGATGAAAAAGTGAGTGAAAGAAATAATAACAATAAAAATTTAACAACAAAAAATTATAATTATACGTATAAAATAAAGGTACTAGGTATATCCTAATTTTATTTGTTTTAATTTAATATTGTTTGTTTTTGGTTATGTTAAAATGCGTTTAATTCGATTAAACCCATTTCAATAAATGTATAATATATATTTTGTATAGTAACAGCCCGAGAAAATTTTCAGGATTCTATTGGTGTGGTCATCAGAAAATATCAATGGGTAATCCTTGCGCAATTCGTATACGCTTGCACTACAAGTTTACATTCATATAGAATCTATATAGTTGTGCTCTTCGGATTTAAGGGTGCGAACAAATGACTCCGTTTACGAACGCACGGAAAATGGAGAATATATTTGTTTTTATTGTTTCTCGGATTGACCAACATTCGACGCTATTATACCGTGTTGTGTGCATTCAATCGGTCAGCGGAATCCGGTCCGCGGGCGTCAATGAAAATATTCTTGAAATGAATTAGAACAAAAACGTGTACGGTGCACTTAAAACACCTAAAACTCCGTTGCTACGCCGTACGTGGCTATACGTCAATCGACGTGTGATCGGACGCACAAAAGAGCTGAGGCGATGACCATATCATATACACTTGTATACAAACGTTTCCCATATATTATAGAGATCCGTTACTTATCGCAATGACACGGACGCATTGTCTTAGAGAGCTTTCGAGTGTCTTATTTATATATATATATTT